AACATGCAAGAAACTTTCAGCTTCATGAGAATTCATTTTATATTTTTGGAAAATTCAAAATTTGTGAAACAAAAAAGGCTGGAATTTGTTGTGCTATTACAATGCTGTTATTGGTTGTTAAGCCTTAATATGACAGATGTTTTGACCCTATAGTAGTGAAGCTCAAGAGTAAAAAACAAATGCTTTAGTCAGGAGTCCCAGTAAGCCATGACGGCGTGACAGTCAGCCAGCATACACAATATCAGGACCCTAAAACTGTAACAGCTAAATGAAACTCAGCCACCATTAATAGCATTATTTACACATGTGCTTCTCCCTCCGTGTCTTTAGTTAAAAGGGCCTTCTGCACACTTCTTACATTTGTTTTCATTTTGTGAATTTGTGCTAAAATATTTTAGCGGCTGGTGAGTTACTGATCGAAGAAATGTGACACCTGAGTCTAGAGCCCTTTGGGACCACTGCTATAAACCATCCTGTACAAGCCATGTCTCAAATATGTGTCTATCTGATATACATAACTGCCAGGGGACCTGGTATATGTCAGCCTTCAACAGAACTGGGGTTAATAAAATGTGCTTGTCTGTGAAATATTAGCTACCACAGACTGCATAACTGTTCAAAAACCTCTGTGAATGTTAGTACTTCCAGATTGCATCCTACGTCAACATTTCACCATGAGTAAATTCATAGGGTCCTTTGATTAGATAATATATGTACAGATCACACACACACAAATCCAACTTTGACTTTTTGCCTGCATAGTCATTTAATATGAATCAATACAGCACTGAACAGTCACTGGTTTTGCTCTCGGCATGCTTGTTCAAAAGACTAGACCTCTCTGACTAGTATTCACTAAGACATGTAGCTGTGCAGCTGGTAATATGGTCTTTGGAACAGAGTAATAAATAAGACCCTTATTAAGAGTGTGGATTGATCCAATCAATCTTTTCACCACAGGAGTAAGTTGATGGTGCGATTCGAGCTCTGTATGGGGTGTGATGTGTCTTTGCCTGTGCTGCGAACCAGACTGAGAATGGGTCTGTGCATGTGTAGATAAATGTTGTACTCAAAATATAGTAATGCTGCTTGACACCATTTTATGTGCAATTTTAAAATATTGCACAGTTGAGCATCATTTATATGTGAGAAGTAAACCATCTGCAGCATATCCACCACCCATAAACCTGCTTAGTTTGGCTGGAGCTCTCCGCTCATCCTTTTTAATTATCTCACTCTGCCTCTTCTAGCAAAAACATTCCAATTTTCAGTCTGTAACACACCTACCCTTTTTTCCCCCAACCCCCTCTGCTTTCTGCAGTGGGAAGGTCAGGCGTACATCTTCACCCGTTGCTGAGTGAGCACTGGGGGGTAGGGGTGAAGAGACAGAGCACAGATCATAATGGCCGGCCAATTATCAGTAGTAAGGGGGGCTGGGGAGCTAGGAAGAGTGAGAGATTATGGGGGGGAATGGATCAATACACCAGTCAATTTCTAATGAGGGAAAGAATTGGTCCAAGTCAAGCAGATGGAAATCCTGCTCTGCCTGGGGTGGTCTTTCTTCACTGTCTGTCAGCAGGGTATCAGGTTTTTGATGCTGCTTTGTACAACAGCGCCCCAACAGGGGAATGACTGCTATCACACTGGATCTGTGATATTCAAATATTTACAACATTTACTGCAGTTTTTTTTTGGGTTCACAGTGTTCCTCTCCTGCTCTCCTGGTCTACCCACATTCCACTTTCTCTAAATATTTCATATATCACTAGGGGCAGATTTAGAAAAGGCAAAAGAATAATGGCTGTCTGTCCTTCACCACCCCCTTCTTTTTAACCACCCACAACTGCCAGCACAGGACAGTAAATCCTACACCTCACCCACTCACCCAGCCCAGCAGCTCAGCTGTGTGTTACTATGCACTAGCACAACATGCACTCTTCTGCTTACATGAAAAGAAGCCAGCTTAAACTGCTACAGGCTAAACAGCAAATAGTCTCTGCTTTTTCCAAAATGGTGACTGAAATAAGCACCAACCAACTGTTCAGCACCATCATTAAGCCTTTGGTACTGTGGTTCTTCTCTGGTTGCTTCACTATTTTCTACATCTGCCTTTCTTTCTTTTTTCTGAGGGGCCTTGTGTGGGGTGGGGGTGTTATTTATGGCTGCTCTGTGCAAGTGGACACACACACACACACACACACACACACACACACACACATACACACAATAATTAGAATATTAAAA